CTAGTGTCAGATATACATACACAGATATATACAAGCACTATTTTGCAACAGATTTTGGTATGTTTAGGGGGCAAAATATATATAATATTTATATATTTAATAATAAAAAAATAACAATCAATGATAATTTCTATAAAAATAGTTGTAAAATGATTACATATTACATAATTGTAAAAACATTACATTTATACATGTATACAATATTAGTATAAAAATATAAATATTAATATGTTTTGCAACGTTTTTGTATGTGGCAGGAAACTATATATATATGTGTAGTTGACAAATATACTGTAAATGTGTCCTATGGTGTGACAGCAAAAATTTAGAGAAAAAAAACTAACAATGAAGAAAAATCTCTCTTATGCTATTTGTATATTATTAACAAGTATTAACAAGAAATTAATTATTAATAATGATTAATTGTTTTCTCAATTTTGCTGTTACACCATAGGACACATGTACGGTATCTATATATCAACAACCCATATATACTAAATAATAAAATAATAAATAATATTTATTTATTTATTTATTATTAAATAATAATAATAATACAAAACCTAAAATGACTAAAAATAATGTATTATTTTATTGCATATACAAAAAGTTTGAAAACTGGATAGCTGTATGAATGGAAACTGTACAAATTGTGAGTGCAACAATGTCCAATTAAAGTAATATGAACCAGTATAAGAGAGGGAATCATTCGCTTTTATATTATCTTTTAGGCCATCAGGCTGTGCTTAATGCTTAAATTTGAAAGGGTTACCAGAGTCATCAAGAACCTTGCGTGTGGCGTTCATGATAGCGTGTGTGTTTTTAATCAGTTCTGAACTGAGTGTGTGTGTGTGTGTGGTTTATTTATTTCTTTAGTAAGCAATAAAATGCATGTATATCATTAAAATTTTTTCCACCAGTCATGTCACATTTATAATATCCTAAATAATAACGTGTAAAGCCGTTTGTTATGCAGAAGACCAGAGAAATGCTGGTCCACAAGTATCTCTGCGGTTCTCCATTGATTAAAAGTGAAGCCTGTTGTCTGCAGCTGTAATTGTGTGACTGCACTGCTCTTCCTTTTGCTCAGCTCCGTTAAGACTTTTAGCCCGATTGTAAGATCTTAAAGTCCTATTTGTTGTTAAGCAGATACAGACACTCGGTCCTAACAGCGTTTCCAGGGAAAACTGGAGTAGAGAGAGCACTAGAGATTTTGCAGAACTGTAAAATAATGAAGTGGGATGAAGTATATTTTACTGGATTATCCAAACATGAGGTTTATATAACAAAAATACAACATTTCTGCACTTAATTTGCAGCTAAGATAACTGTATTGTGAGATTCTAATTTTTTTAGATGTTTTTGAAACATTTCTTTTATGATCTTGTTTGTCTTATTTAAAAATACAGTAAAAACAGAAATATTGTGAAATGTTATTACAATTTCAAAAAACTGTTTTCTATCTGAATATATTTTAAAATGTAATTTATTGCTGTGATGCGCAGCTGAGTTTTCAGCATCTTTACTCTAGTCTTCAGTGTCACATGATCCTTCAGAAATCATTCTAATATGCTGATCTGCTGCTCAAGAAACATTTCTTAGTATTATCATTGTTGAAAACAGTTGCTGCTTAATATTTTAGTGAAAGCTGTCATACATTTTTTTCAGGATTTTTCAGGACCAGCATTTATTTAAAATAGAAATCTTTTGTAATATTACGATTGTTTTGATCAATGAGTCCTTGCTGAATAAAAGTATTAATTACTTAAAAAGACCTTTTGCCTTAACTTGTATATGGGTCAAAGACGAAAAAGGGTTTAAGCATAAAAACAGTAAGTGTAATACTGCTTTAATTGTTGTTGTTTTTTCCCCAAAACTTTTAAAGGTTTTCTGTTTAATTTGCAATTATTTTATTCTCCAAAAACTTATTTAAAACCTTCAAAGTAGACACTTTGCTTATATTTAATGTGCTTTCTGTGGACATATAATCACTTTTGTAAATTTCTTTTGATGCGGACATCTTAGCGTCTTTGACCCATATACAGCAATTGGCCCAATGAGACTGCACTGTGGCCTGTGAAGCAGCGCCTGTATATTAATATCCTCACGTCTCCTGTCGTTCCACCACAGCAGCAGATTCCCGCTCAGTCCAGTAAGGCCCAGGCCTCACCGTTCGGCATGGGCTCCAGTCACAGCTACCAGGCCGACCCGTCCTCTTACAGCCCTCTGTCCAGCCCCGCCACCTCCTCGCCCTCTGGAAACGCCTACTCCAACCTGGCCAATCGCAGCACTGCTTTCGGTAAGACCTGCTTATTTATGACAACAAAGGCTTGTTTGCACCAAGGACTATAACGTTAACAATAAAAACAAAGATACAGTTTTAGCATTCTAAATCTATAATGCTAACAGCACAGAGGAACATTGTCTTTGGAATAGCTATTTTTTCCAGCTGATGAATGCTAAAAACGTTGACAGCCAATCAGAATCTGCCCTGCTTTAAAGTGCTCAAGCATTTAAAGTGACAGATGACAAAACTGCAGCACATGCTTATAATAAAGAGAACATTATCATGCATCGGTGTGGACGCTAATGTAGTTATGGTGTGCCTTAAATTTCATCATTTTGGTGCATATTGTTTACTGTGCTAACTTTGCTGCATTCATTCATTCTGTCATTAACTATCCAACGTGATCGGGTAGATATTATAATAACTTCCAAAGATATTAGGGATGTCAAACGTTTTGGTACATTTGCAACTCCTTGTGGTACATTTATTGGTATATTTGCTGGTATATCTGTTTTTATGAATATCAAATATAGAATATATTAATATATAATAATAATTTATTATTTTACAATTTGTACCATGGTCTGCCTGAATTCTCGATTCTGATTGGCTGGCAGGTATGCATTAAAACTCTTTAATGCACAGGTAGTTCCAAGTCAGTTTAATCGCCGTTCTATATTAATGTGCTGCTTTAATTGATGCACACAAACACACACAGAAAGAGAGAGCGAGAGAAAGGCAGAGAGAGAGTCGGAGATCGCAGATTGCACTGTGCACACACACACAAACTTGTCAACGCTTGCCGTGACTTTTATTAATAAAATCGCCTCGATACTAGACCGCTACATTATATTCCTCAGCAACAAGGTGTAAAATCGCTGTTTTTGAAGTAACACAGCTTCATTGTTTGTAGAGAGACACGCAGACAAAGATAGCACACACACAATTGTCAGTTAATTCAATTAATTCAAATTAATTAATTAAAATAAATGCTATAATTCATTCAAGAGCTATCGAGCCGTAACTGACGAAAATAACAGTCATTTTTACCCTTTCGTAAAAACATCATTAACAGCTTTAACTTGTAAATGCTGGCAAATGACCAAGGTATGAGCAGGATAATGCATGGCTAGCTGTGCATTAAATGATTTTAATGCGCTTCGCGTCGGGTGGTTCTTGGCCTCCACGTCGTGCGTTAAAATCGTTTAATGCACAGCTAGCCATGCATTATCCCTTACATATATATTACATTTATGCACATGTAATTGTGCATTTTTTGCTAAAGCAATAAGCCCTAAGAAGCCGTGGTTTACAGTGAATTTATAACAGCTAAGGGGCGTTGTTAGGCACGATGCGAAGCCTCGGAAACCATGGCTTCACGGGGCTTATTGCTTTTATAAAACGGTTATTTCATATACGTAGTAAGGTTTCACAAAATAAAACAGAGCAAATGAAGTGTAATGATTTTAATAAAAACAGTATTCTTCCACCAAACAATGTAGTTCCTCAGAATCTGTTGTGGTTGCAATAAAGTGGTTGCCAAGCAACACACAAATGTAAACAAAGATGTATGTTTGTAGAGTAATTTACAACAGCTTTGAACGCGGCTCAACCAATCAGAATCAAGGACCGGAACTATCCGTTTTATAATTTACTTTTTTTCACTCAGAAATTGCTAGTAAATTTCACAAGCAATTACAAATAAACGGCAAGTAGCATTGAATTACACATTACATTTTTGCAGTGGAAAAACTGAAATAGTATTTTCTTGTAAAAAGTGCTCCAATAATCTTTGTTATGTTTACTTGCAAGTAGTGCTGGGCGGTATGACCAAAAATTTATATCACGGTATTTTTCAAAATTAGACCGGTTTCACGGTATATGACGGTGTATTTTTTTTTTCCATGCATGACGGGTGTTAACCATATTTTCTACTGATTGAGAGAGGAAATACTGCAGTATATTGACTTATAATGGCCTATTTTACTGTCATGATGAGTGAATATTGTCAAAAAATACCACACTAAATAGTGACTAAACACGACCCCTTTTAATACATGTTAACCAGGAGTCACTCTCATTTATAATCACGCCATCGTCTGATAAAATCAACATGCATCTACACTAAAGAGCGGCTATGCGGTTGTTTTGGCTATATTACTTTTTTGTCTCATGCAGCGCACTGCCTGCATCTGAGTAACAAACTAAAAAAACAACAAACAAAAAAAGTGCATGTGATATTAACAGACGAATTTCAAACAGTGTCGCGTTCCGAACGTTGTTTAAGTGACATACTTGTGGTATTTTAAAAATTCATATCATAACAAAAATAAACAATGGTATTCGGTATGAACCGGTATACTGCCCAGCACTAATGTAAAGTAAAAAATCTTTTGTACATTGTTGGTCATTTATGGAAACATCGGTTTTGGTTCTGATTGCGCTCATTTTCCTCGTCTTTTATCAACTGCTATTGCTAATGTAAAAGTATTGATATCCGCTAGCGAAATTTGATCATCGTGACAGCCTCAGACTCCTGCAGCTCTGTTTGTACCTGAATCGGTTGAATGATCTCACAGAAGATCCGCCGTGCTCCTCAAACCGTGATCTGATCCAGCCTGACGTCAGTCATATGGAGGCCACATTACAGCACCTCTGGGAAACCAGTCCTCCCGTGGGCCCGTCTTTTACATGTACAACGATTTATAGCTTTCCATATAAAACACACACAGTAACAGACAATGACTGAACCAGTCGTTTGTCTTCAACAGAAAGAGGTGTCATGAACAGCAGACAGTGTGAAGACTGTATGGCGTCCATAGTGAGACAAACGGTTTTGTTGTTCTGGTTTCTTTGCTTTGGCCACGTAATCTCTATTATAGACCGTATGAAAAACTGATTTCTGTGGTTTGAATGATCACAATTGTTGGACAGCAGGCAATTAGATGTTTGTGTTCGTAGTTTTACAAACTCTTCAAAATTACTTGTTCTCAACAGTGACTATTAATCATGAAAGTGTTAGACAATGCGTATAACTTATTCAACGAGTTTGGAAAATTACTTTTTAATGAAGTTATTATCTAAATGTAACAAGAAAAGATGCTGTTGCTTAAAATGATACAGAGCAATTATATAATACAACAATAGGCCAAGTGAGGCCATGCATTACAGTGTTTTACTACGGTAAAGGGTGTTCTTAGACAAAGCAGTTAATGAATAATTAAATTGATTAGTAATGATGTTCATAATTAATTATATTCAGTATATTTTTTCAGAAATAGAAAAATTGTTTTACAGTATATTTTTTATAATTTACTGTTTTTATGTATTACATATAATATTTTTCTAGCATATATTGTTAACATTATCATCAGTTAATATTTATTTTTTAATATATAATATTAGATAAATTATTTATATTACAGAATGTGTGTGTATATAAAAAAAAATTCTGATTATTTAAATATTGCATGTTTATTTTTTTTATATTATTTTAAAATATAAATATATATTTTTATAATTATTAAGAAAAGTAATATAATAAATGATTTTATTATAAATAATATATTACTATTTATATTACAGGAAAAAAATATATGAACTATTGCATGTTTATTAAATATTATTATTTTTTACATTATTATTATTATTATTATTATTCATGCTTTCACTTTTTTCACAATATAAAATTCCTCATACCATGATATGAGCCATCGCCCACTCCTGTCCCATCCTAGAGATCACGTTGATGTTACATCAGTCAAACTCTTGCTCTTGACTTGCGTTTCTTTTGTCAGGACTTTAAACAGCCTGCAGTGGGTTTAATTAATCTGTCAAGCCTTGCACCTTTTAAACTCATGCAAGAGAGATCTGGTTTCTGTATCCTGACACTTTAAAGTGAGGAATTTGACCAGCGTGACACGAAGGGCACAGATACACAAACACAATTGTGCAACTTTTCACATTCCTCGACCGAAAGGCAGAACATGCTGAACGGCTTAAAGCGAGAAACTGTAGAATCGTTGTTATTGCATTACATCCGTTTAAAGCCGCCTCGGATTTCTCCATCACATTCAGGTCTGCGAACCGAATTTAATTTGAAGCAGGGCGTGCGTACGGAGACTTTTACAGGATGACATTTTTTCCCATTGTTGTGTTCCTCGAGGGAAACACTCTACCTTGAACCTGTGATTAGTGTGTCCATTTAATAAGTCATTTGTGTTAAACAGGTGACATTAAAAACCCACTATTTCTATTTCAAGTGTAGCAGGCTCCGAATGGCTTTCCGAGCCCTGAAGGCTTCTGCCAGCCGCTTGAAAATGAAGCCGTGTCCAGATAATTCTTTTTAAATATGCTGTCATTAAAGAAAATGGAACATTTATCTTCGCCTCCTCAGGTGAACGGCACTTAAACACGCGACGGGAGGAAGGACTCTGAGACTGCAGGAAGACACTGTCTTTTTCTGTATTTGGAATGAATCGGTTTAATCCCAGTTTTCATCAAACTGAGTGCATGTATTTTTAATTTTTAGTTTGTGTAAGTATGTGCTTTATTTGTGGTCACAACTGACCAAAGAGAAACAAAAACTGCTTAGCTGCTTAAAAAGACCTAGTAGAAAGTTGCAAGTAAAACTACTTTAAGTCTCTTTTGCTCACTAAGGCTTCATTTCTTTGATCAAAAATACAGTGACAGTAATATTGTGAAATGTTATTTAAAATTACAATAACTGTTTTCTATTTGAATATATTTTAAAATGTAATTTATTCCTGTGATCAAAGCTGAATTTTCAGCATCATTACCCCAGTCTTCAGTGTCACATGATCCTTCAGAAATCATTCTAATATGCTGATTTATTATCAGTGCTGGAAACTGTTGTGCTGCTTAATATTTTTTTTTTGGAACCTGTGATACTTTTTTTCAGGATTCTTTGATGAATAAAAAGTTAAAAAGAAGAGCATTTATTTAAAATAGAAATATTTTCGAACAATATACACTACAGTTCAAAAGTTTGGGGTCAGTAAATTTTTATTCTTTCTTTTTTTGAAAGAAATTAAATCTTTTATTCAGCAAGGATGTGTTAAATTGTTAAGAAGTGATAGCAAAGATTTATATTGTTAGAAAATATTTATATTTTGAATAAATGCTGTTCTTTTTCATCAAAGAATCCTGAAAAAAATGTATCACAGTTTCCACAAAAAATATTAAGCAGCACAACTGTTTTC